CCCGCTCACTCAGGACAATCACATAGCTGCCTCTCAATATCTTCCACTCAGCTTTATCGCGCAAATCACATCCAAAATGCAGACCAAGGTTCTTGTCTCCGCCATGCTGGCCGGCCTCACCGCGGCTCAGACTCTCAACATCCCCACCCGCAGCGGTTCCATCGTCTCCCTATCTGCTCCCAGTGTCATCTCTGGAAGCAAGGACATGGGCAACAAGGAGTTCGATCGTGGTCGCGCTTGTGACACCGATGCTGACACCGGCAGCGACTCTGCTGTCTTCATTCTCGAGAACGGCGCCACCCTGAGCAACGTCATCATCGGTGTCAACCAGCTGGAGGGCGTTCACTGCAAGGGCGCCTGCACTCTGAAGAACGTCTGGTTCCGCGACGTCTGCGAAGGTAAGATGCCATCTATGAGATTCCTAGCTAAGCCCTTTGACTGACTCCCACTCACAGACGCTATTTCCGCCCTCGGCACTGGCGACGTCCTCATCCAGGGCGGTGGCGCCCAAAACGCCGCCGACAAGGTCGTTCAGCACAACGGCCGCGGTACCGTCACCATCGACGGCTTCACCGTCGTCACCGCCGGCAAGCTCTACCGCGGCTGCGGCGACTGCACCAATAACGGCGGCCCCCGCAACGTCATCGTCAAGAACGTCAAGGCCAAGAGCGTCAAGGAGCTCGTCGGTATCAACTCCAACTACGGTGACGTCGCCACCATCTCCAACACCTGCGGCTCCAGTGTCTCCAAGGTCTGCCAGGAGTACAAGGGCGTCAACAAGGGCTCTGGCGAGAGCAGCAAGGTCAGCACCACTGCCAACTGCAAGGGCCAGACTTCTCTGTCCGCCTGCTAAGCGGCTTGACCTTCGGTGTCTGGTCGATCTTTCTGCATCTACTTGAGCGTGGAGTCTTGGGGAGCTTATCCCTTCAGCGTGTATTTACTTCTGCGCCGTGGTCTTGTTGGCCGATGCCTCTCTGACCGGGTGCCTTCCATGTACATAGTAGCTTCGCCGATAGGCCCGAACATAACAGCTGAATTATTTTCAATCGACTCCATGTGCTGTGAAGATAGTAGACTTCCAACTTGCTCAGCCAAAATCACATGTGCTTCGAGACAGGGGTCAGCGACCGAGACGAAGTCCCCGGTTCCACTAGCGTACTCAAGAGCAAAACATTAGATACTCCTGAAAGTTCGAACTTGTACACCTCTTTTGACGGAGCTTTTTGCTCGGTCGTAGATCGAAGATTTGTGGGTTTAAAATGCGGTTATCAGACGGGTGGCTCCCCATTGCCCACAATTCGACCCATTTGTCGACGTCAAGTGGAAACCGACGATGTGATGCGCATGCTGCCGCGGCGTCAGTGACGATACATTTACGCAACTTCGCGTCACTCAATTACAGTGAGTTCAATTTGATAACACATCGAGACTGTTTTAAAAAGCCTTTACAACGATAGATCCAGGAAATCCTTCACATTACATCTATTACATTCGACCAAACTTCCATTCAGCGATCAAACTTCTCGCCCTCAAATCGTTACAGTCAACCCTGTTTACATAAATCCTTCGAGCCATCATAATGCCTCAATACAACAACTCTCAAGCCGACACTCACAGTATGTATTGACAGACTACCTACGTATCCCAGTACTAACTGTAAAGCAGAGGACCCCTCAAGCAAGCATGAAGCCAAGGAGATGATGGCCCAGCAGGAGAGGGAGGAGAGAACAGAGCACTCTAAGAGGGGTGCGAACACGGGAAAGCCTCCGGGAGTTCCGGAATATGTTGCGCGCAAGGAGCACGCCGCTGATGTGCAGCATTGAGTTATCTGGGACAAATGATGATGTATGAGCACATGATCTTGCAGCACATGGATATGTCAACGGTCTACATAAGGCTATTTACGCTGAGTCAAAATCCTTGTTATGACTCAGTATTGTATCTGCGACGAAGAAATTTGAATCAATTCCAAGTGCACTTCCATTACCACAGAATCTCAAGTCTGCAATGCCCAGTCCTCTGCACGCTCCTACTCCTTACGCATCATCCTCAATCTGTTACTGCAAGAATTTCCAACAAATTTCCTTTCAGGACGCTTCAACTAATTGGCGATCGCGGAATACCGGTCCTGTTATTGTGTCAGTTCAGCGTCTCACATTGTGGCTAACATCGGAGAAGGGATCAGGGTCCATACCAAAAGTCGGATGTACCAGCATGCCATCAACAAGAGCATCGAAGGAGTTGGGAACCACCCACTCCATAAGCCTGTCCCAGTTGACGCATTCATGGGGACTGGTCAAGTTTCCGATCGGCCGAAGACCAGTGGAGTTCCACTTCATGGTGATCAGCGTTGTGTCACCTTGACACATCACTGCCTCTCGAAGCATATGGAGACAATGGTCTGGAGGTTTGATCAGAAGCATGATCTTGAGCAAGCTACGGAAGCTAGGAGCCGGAGTTGGGGTTTCTCACCGTTGTGCTCGGCGAGCCTCTCTTGCTCGTGACTTGTCAACTTGCTGAAATTGTAGTATTCTGGGTGCAGGGCGTGATATAGGCTTTTCTAACGGATCTAATTAGTCGATTTGCACATTTTGAGACATGATTTAAAGCAAGCATACCAGGCAGTGCAAGTGATGGTAGACAATGACAGATCCAAAGTAACCACCTCCGGGTAGTTCGATACCCTCGTCCACTCGACCAAGCTCCTCCATTGTATGTTTCGGAACGCGAATATTCTGATCTTTGGGAAGACCGTTAACCTATGGATGGATTCATTCAGAGGCTTGGGTGGCAGCTCACATGCGAGAATATTATGCCAGTTTCTGTCCACCTCCGCGTCAGGCTCAGTGAAATACGTGACGTTCTGGAGCCCCTTCTCGAATTGGTAGAACTCGCGAAATTCATACTGGAGGAATCCATCGACGATAGCTGTAGGACCGATTAGCAACGGAATTGACGGTGCGCAGTGAACTAACAATCCATGGCCCTGGTGCCCTGCATACGGCCAGCTTTGAATATGTGCGCAGATATCTGGATCAGAGCCGCCGAATACAAGATCAGAACAGCCAGACCACAAAGGGATTTGAAAAGAAGTGAACATGATCCAGATATTCTCTTGACAAGGCCCTCCTGCATCAACGTTGTCTCTTCGCTGTAAGACCCGTCGCTGGATTCATCGCTTAGGGGCACCCGATTGTATGTCGCTTTTTCGATTACAGGAAGCATGTTGAGTCGCTGAAGATGCCAAAGATCGTATCAGAATGAACAAGAAATAAACAAATACTATTTAGAGAGGAATGAGACCACAAACGTAGAGACAATTAGAAGAAGGTCTGATGTTGAGACAGCGGAGAACGTCGAGGGTGAACCACCCCTTCTTTCTTATGCGGGCCAACGTGTGCTCCTAAAAGATTGTAAGTGTAGATCCCACGAGCATGGCCTTTCTTTTCATACTGTCTTGATTTTCGACGAAGCGCTCTTGCCGCGCCGCAAAAACGGGGCCAACTTGACGAACGGGGAGAAGGACTCAGCTCACATGGATTCTACGGGGGAAATTCACACTCCGGGCCTTCCCTCGCAGCAGTTGCGACATATTTGCTGCATGGACACAAAGAGGCTTGACCAGCTAGATCTAATACGGTAGATTACCCCGATGCAAAAGGCAAAGAAAGGCTGTTGGATGTAGTTGCAGAAACAGGTCCAACAGAGTTGTGAAGCATCGCTTCGGTTGGAAACTCTTGGAGACGAGGTCTGATTTGAGCGGGAAGAAAGCCCATGCGTTCGAGGGGCGGAAACCAGCGATAGGACAAGATATCTATGCACCTCGAGCTCAAAGCAGCAAGAGATTACTGCAAGTTAATCAAAATGCATCAACCGAGAGACAAACATTCAATATCGTCGTCGGGCAGGTGACCGGGGAACATGGGAGAAAGCGGGACATATGCTCTTCGCAACAAACACGCGGTGAGTCTGGCCAGACTCTGCTTTAGCCGACATTTTGCAGTGACAAGAGGTGCAACCAACAGGACTGGAAGGTGAAAATTTGGCAAGTTATTCGAAGAGATGGCGCAGTAGGCGTATGGCCGATGCGTATATAAACCCATCTCAGTCAAGGCAGTTATCAGACCGCAGGGACTTATTCATTTCATACTCTCAAGGCTCACAACTCACTTTCTTGCACATCACGCGTTGTTGTCAACCATTGCCTCAATTGCTAAAAGGCGCCGAAATGAAGGTCTCCGTCATCGTTCTCGTATCTGGCCTCTTGGCCTATGTCAATGCTCTTCCTATGACAGGTAAGTAATGAGTTCAATTTTTGCACAGAATCACCAATTTCTAACTCTCTGCATAGGTCAAAACATGGTCTTGGAAGCGCCTGTTGCGGTTGAGCGGGCTGAAGTGGACGCCGACCTAGCTTATAACAAGCCTTCCGCTGCTGCCCGGGCGGAAGACGCCGACCTGGCCTACAACATGCCTTCCGCGGCTGCCAAGTAGTGACGCAAGATGAATCCGTTGGGTTAGGACTATGGGCGGTTTTGCTCGGATGCGATAAAAAGAACCCACGCATGTGCTGAAGCTATCTTCAATATTGCAGTCACTGAATCACGACCATCAAAGTGACAGGCATTGCAGGTCGTGTGCATGTTCCTAGATTCCTCCAAGAAATGCACTTTTCTGTGGTCTCCTGGCCCAAAACCTTCAAATCGCCGTTTGATCTACAGCCATGTAAAGTGGTAGTCATGCATGCACATAAACGTGATTCAAGTAGGCAAACTTTCTAGGGACATCTGTCAAATGCAGGCGGCGTACTTGCCACATTCTTATTCTCGCTCGTCCCTCGGAGAACTTTTCAATAAAGAAAGGTGGTGCAATTTAGAGCTTGCATGGATTCAGTGGCAACAAACATTCGAGATTAAGCTTATCACTGCTACCTCTTGATTCTCCAGAAAAAGCAATTCGTGCGATGAACTCGACTACCTGCAGACTCTAAAAATACAGCATCATTTTCCCTTTGCTGCTTCCAACTTCCATGTCTCCATGTCACGGTAGATTGTGCCGTTGTCCACGTATCGATCATAAAACCAACGGATCGACTGCCTAAAAGTTCCAAACACCCTCCCAACATTGGCAGTTGCAAACCGAGACGAGCCATATTGTGACATCTCGGGATCACTAGGTCTGACCATTGCTTTTGGATCAAACGACACATCCAAAAAGTTACCGCCGCTGTAGATCTCGCCCAGCCTATCTTCGTCCAGCCGGCGAATGGCGATCCTATGCTTGTAGTCACCTTGAACGGCTGTCTGGATAAAGAACACACTGCCTGTGGTCCGGCGCGCTGCAACCTCTGCGCGGTGGTGTTCCATGCACCGCTCGATGCGCTCGCTATCGCTGGTGTCCTCTGGAAGGGCCAGCCCGATGACTTCAATGCGGTACCGGTACTTGGGGTGCTCAAGGTACGCTTTGTCCAAGGCGTCGAATCTCGTGTGCGCAAGTGTGTAGATCTTCTCGGCCGTGTCTCGGACGTGGTAAGCGTACATGGCTTCGGGCAAGGTGTGGTAAACTCGGATGACCCAAAGAGGTATGTTTGAAAGATCGGGTCCTGCGGGCGACCTCGCGTCTTTGTCAGTGTAGGCCCATACTGCAAAACAAGGTCTTCCGTCGTGGCAAGGAGCTTCAACCACGACAGGTTGAGGAGGAGGGGGCAAACGGGGAGATGGAGGGGGAGTGGGTCACGTAGGCTTTCTCGCCAGTCGAATTTTCGCAATGTCAACCTCCTCCTTTTCGCCCTTCAAGAAGCGCTTGAGTCCTTCATACGCAGATTTGACAGGCATTGTAACTGTTCGGTATGTATCAAGTATTACGAGCCGGCTAGTGATTTTTAGGGCGTGCTTTCCAGAAGACGCCTAGACTTATTTGAGGAGGAGGAATGGAAGTGGTTATCGTGGAAGAAAGATGTGTTGTTGCTGGATTGTACAGTTGAAAGAGATGGTAAAAGCTAGAAGGTTTGTCTGGAATAAATAGGCAATCCGAAGATTTCGCTCGGGGTGCCTCTGAACAATTCCAGTTGTTCTCTCTGGTGATCTCAACTCTTGTTCCTTTGTAGTACAACAATAACAGCTACCCTTTATTGACAAAATGAATAATAGCAACGCTGCCAGGCTCCCTTTGACGTTCTTGATTATGTTACGAAACTTTCGCGAGAATAAGGCGCCAGGTCTTTCATCACAACAACCGCTTTCTATTTACAGTTTGCTGTCGTTGTTCTCTTCCCAAGCCATAGTCCAACTATTCAAAAGCATGATGACGTTGAGTTTTGTCGACGCACCAGTCTTCAAAGTTGTTGCAGACCAAACAAAGCATGTCAGATCTGTTCATGTCTCTGACGCAAATGCAACATGCACTCATCGCCTGTTTCGAAGTTGGCGAGGCATACCCAACAGATGTGTGCTCCGCATCTGCAACTTATGTGGTCGCAGCCATACCACTTCTCGATAGGCGCGTGGCATTTGGGGCAGTCCTTGACCCCAAGCTTCCGCTTGCACTTTCGCAGTTTCTTTTCGTCTCCTCTGGCAATCTTGTCTCGACGTTCCGCACAGGATATTGCGGGATGAGAGTTGTGGCATGAGGGGCATGTCGCTTTGCCGCAGCTCGGACATTCAAAATATCTTGGGTTCTCGGTGGAACTGACTCGGTAAATGTATCCGCAATCTGCCGTAGGACAGTACCGGAGTTTTTCGGGATGCTTGTTGACATATGATTCGGCTGATGACGCGAGGAGTTGTTCGAACGCTACTGGTGGGAGATATTGTGCTAGTTCATCAAGGCCGATAACGGATCTGCAAAGGCCATTATTGCCTATACAGGCCACTTTGAAGCCTCCAGGATTTGTATCTCCTGCTCGACAAAAGTTCTGGAAGCAGTCCAAGCAGTAGACATGACCGCACGTCGTCGTCAGGAATTGGTCAGGCTCGGTCCAGCACACTGAACATGGTCTCTCAACCGCATCTCTGAAGGTTGGCCTCTGGGAAATCATTTCTATGGCTCGTTCGTAAGAGGAGACTGGTCCTGCGATATTAATTTGGGAAGGCGGCCAGACGGACTTATACCTCACAGTGTCTTGACCAAGGGCTTCGCAGAGAACCTTGAAACCTCCTCTGATGGCCCAATTAAAGGCATTTGCGTTGAGAGTAATAGGGTGGACGGCTGTGAAATTGTTTTCAAAACTCAGGAAAAGAGCCTCGTTGGCTTTTTTGATATTTTCAGGCGGGCCGTATAACTTGATCTCTTTGCTGACTGGGAGACAGTGAAATGCTACACCACAGTCCTTTGCAATCTGATCGAGGATCCGGTTTCGGAGGGCCTTGTCGTCAAAATACGGACTCCAGACCGGGCTGTCGGTGTCCGCAGAGTAGAAAATGACCTTACCAGCAAATAGACCATCCAATGTTTGTCGTTTCCTCTCCAGAGCATCAAGATTGTCGCTTTCCAACGACAGTATGGTGTGTTCTTCCGTGTCGCAAAATGTTTGAAATTTGACCTGACCATCTCTGTGGTCATGACGGTTCGTGACCTCGTCGATAAGACTCTGGAAAACTCGGGTCGAAAGCTTGTAGCTCGTGGAGTGAATTTGCTTCACACTGAGTAGCCCAGACGAATTAAAAGGGAGAGGGGTTCCGTCAAAGGTCTGGGCTGCTCGCTTGGCGTCTTCTGCTCCTTTAAACCAAGCCACCGAGTCCAATATACGATCTTCGTCGTCTGACCCGAGAGAAAGCCGTGTTTCCAACTCGCCGACGGCTGCCAGCATAGCTTCCACCATTGCAAGCTCGTTTTTTTCGCAAGCAAAGTCAGATCCGTCGCGGTCCTTTGGCCAAGAGCACTTAATCTTCCGACTAGTCACAACGTGAAAGTCCTCTTTTTCCATAATCGGATTTATCTCTTCGGTGACAACTTGAATCCCTGAAAACACGCCGTGTGCCTTCTTCTTCTCAAAGTTCGCGCGCAAAAGCTCCGCAAACCCAGGGACTCGACCGTTGACAACAGCGTACTTGAGCCCCGAGTCTTGGGATCTCAGTTTAATGGACGTGAGAGGGACATGGAAGCCCCTTTGTTCTAACAGCAATTGAACTGCCGTCGTACTGCATGGTCCCACAATGTTGAGAATGACGGCGGTCGAGTTATCAGGTAGAGTAACATCACAGACCGATGCCCCGGGGCCAAACGTGAAGGTTGCTCCGAGCAACTGTCGTGTGCGCGAATCGGTTTCGGTGGACAACTGCGTGATTAAGTGAGCTTTTGCGACAGTCTGATGCAACCGAAATGTAGTGTGATACTCACAGTATCCTCTTCTGGGTCCCCATGGGGAAGGCGGCATTCACTTCCCCTGCGACAACGCGCCTGCGTAGGCAGAACACGTGCGAATTGGTCCAACGGCACGTCAACGTGTGGAATACTGCACTCCTCCCCAAAGCGACAGGACCCTCTCGAGAAAAACCTGCAGAGGTTCATGGCAGTCTTCTTGAACAGGCTCTTGCCAAGACTGAACTCGCAGTCATCACCTTTGGCGCATCGCCCCCGATGACAATCCCGGCATAGTTGGCCGTTCTCCAGAGACGATTCATTTGGAGACAAGGTGTTACCCCCACGAGGGTTGTCGTGCGTGTGTACCATGTCTCTGACTCGAGACGAAAGGAGTTTGAACATACTGAGTACAGCAGTTAACGGAACAGAGGTGGAGAGGCTGACAACAATAGAGATTTTCCCCTCTACAACCCTGAGAGCTGGACCGAAAACGCGGCACGTTACCTGGAGAACATACAGGGTTTGAAAACAAGAGGCACGTGAGGCGGAGGTGTGATGTTTTTAGAAAGCTAGGCTTCACAAGGCGTTTCATTGGCCTTCTACATAGGAACCTCTTGGGCTTTTATCCTCCGGGTTGTTGGCCATCATTGAGTTGGACCTTGCGCCGTCAGACTTTTCACAAAATATTGGACTGATCAAGGCGCCAAGCAGCCACACTCGAGGCTCAGATCGTGGTTCGAAGTTGGGCGGGCTGCGATTGTGCCAGACCTGTATCATTCCATGGTTTTGCATATCTGAGGAAGGCTAAGTATGCAATATTTACACGCAGCTTCACGCAAAGGAATTACATAGTCAAGAGAGAAGTTCGACGGTCGGACAATGGAGCAATGGCAGAGAGAGCGACAGAGAAGACGGCAGATAAGGGGGCAGAGAGAACGACAGGGATGGTGATAGAGAGAACGGCGAGAAGGACTGCGGGAGAAGGGTAGGCCAGAGGCACAGTGTGGGAGGGCCAATTCTTTCTAAATAGCTTCAATAATTGGATGGCGTGATCATGCACGGTCACTGCGGCAAAGTAAGACGCAAGCCACAGAGGAGGACGCCCGTTATTAAGTGGGGCACATCACGGAATGGGGGCACACAACATACATCTACGCACTTCTACACATATTGACAGGCATCATCACGTCACATTGCACAGGTTAGGGAACGTTTATTTAGCGGTGGTGGTTGTGGTTTGTATTGTTGGGCCAAAAAAAGAAAAAAAAAACCCCGAAGGGGAAAAAAAAAAACAAGGAAAAAAACCCCCGAAGGGTTAAAAAAAAACCTGTTAGAGGGAGGATGGGTGTGAGAAACTACCATAGGCATGGCCTGGGTAACTCTCGAGTGCGGGGGCCGGACGCCCTGTGACATCGTCAGGAATCAATTGCTTTCCGTCAGAGTTGTCATTGTTGTAGTGGTAGTTGTTGGCGGCGTCGTCCGGCATTATTTGTTGTGGTTGTGGTTGTTTGTTTGCGCGCACCTCCATCCTTTCCTCCCCGCGATCTCGGCTGTTATCTTGTGTGGGCTCGAGTCGCATTCCGTATTCCTCATATTGATCTTTGTCGAGATAATACTTGTTGTCGTCGAGATACTCTTGCTCGGCAAGCTTGTACTCGGTCCATTCATGGTCTGGCAGAATGGTGTTGTTATGTACGAGGGGTGGTGACAACCCAAAGTAGGAAACTACTAAGGGAGGACGTATGGGCGAGGATCTACCACCAGCTTTGGCCGATGGGAAGATCCTGAGCGAGCGGTCGTTCTTGTAGTTGTTTTTGTTCTTCGACGCGCGCCTCCATACGTCCCTCACCCCTATCCCTTCCGTCATCTTGTGCGGGCTCGAGATCTTCGTCGTCGACAGGGAATTGGAGTTCTGCAAGCTCATTCTCGATCCGCTCATCTTCAGGCAGGATGGGATCGCCGTTGTCGTCGAAGGCAATATATCCCTCGCCGACGGTGCCGTGATCCTTTACCATATGGTTGTAGGCTGCAAGGGCGGTGGTGTATGTTTTCATGCAAGACCAACAGATGAAAGTGCCGCATCCTGGACATTCAACCTTGTTACAACCCTCATATCGGACGATCGGAGTTGAGCATCCGGGGCAATCTCGGGCCTCAAGGTCTTTTTTGGCCTGTTCGAGATCTGTGTCTATCATCGACTCGCAGGAAGTGTCGTTGTCGTGTTGGTGGCCGCACGTGG